CTCAAAAGGGAGGAGGTGGGGAGGAGACAGAGGGGGGAGGGCAGGAGCTAGCTGTGCTCTCAACCCCCACAGGCGATGACCCAGCAGAGGGAGAGCAGAGGGCACCCGATGCGGGACCCCGGTGGGATGCCCCAGGGAGAGCCTGGGAGTTACTCAGCAGCCTGCGGGAGGCCTGGACGGGCCAGACAGCGGGCAGTGACGGCATGAGCTGCACGGCAGGGAACGTCCGTGTGACAAACCGACAGAGAACGTGAGAAGGGAGGGGGCCAATGCAGAGGCCCCCCCCAGAGACATACGCAAGAAACTAGAGGCACGGTGCCCAGGGACAAGGGGGCCACCCCGCTACAGGTTCTATGCAGTATTATTAAACGGGTGATACTATCCTTGAGAACTGCCTGGGAAGGGGGAAATGATTTTTTAGAGATGTGATTTTATAATCTTCAGCAACACACTAATGAAACAGATTAAGTACATTTAAATCCATGGTCCTATAGATTAACACACTACATTCAAAGGTTTCAGAGGGGTAGCTGTGGTAGTCTGTAACTGGAAAAACTTAAAAAACAACAAATAGTCTTGCAGCACCTTAGAGTAACAAAAAATGTGGATGGTATCATGAGCTTTGGTGGGCACAACCCACCTCTTCAAATGAATTGAGTTTAAGGGGTCCAGTTTTCAAATAAATAGCACAGAGAGGGGATTGGGAGAAGAGGAGGAAAAAGAAGGGAAAAAAGGGGAAAGAAATAGTCAATAGTAATTTAAGTCCATGCTAAATGAAGTCGATAAGATTACTTAGTACCCACTCTAAGTACCCTTTTTTTTTTAATGTCATTAGGATGTGGAATGTAGTGGGCCATCCAGCTGACATCTTTGTTTAGACTTCTGTTGTAGGAGTCTAACTTGTAAATGAAATTAAATTCTGTAGCTTCCCTGTAGATCTGGCTTTTGAAATTAGTTTGAAATAATACAGTGACTTTGAGATTCACTAATGAGTGCCCAGGCAAGTTAAAATGTTCCCCAACAGGTTTCTATGTGTTGCCTTTTTGGATATCTGATTTGTGTCCATTAATTCTTTCTCATAGAGACTGCCCAGTTTGGCCACTATACATGGCAGAAGGGCATTGCTAGCATTTGTTGGCATGGATCACATTAGTGGATGCACACTTTTGTATGAGCTTCTGATGTGATGGTTTACATGGTTAGGTCCTGTGATGATATTGCCTGTATAGATGTGAGGACAGAGTTGGCATCAGGGTTGATTGCAGGGGTGGGTTCCTGGATGAGTATGATGGAAGCATGCTGCATGGTTATTGAAAGAATGGGTGATTGAGGTTAGGAGGTTGTCTGTAGGCGAGGATTGGTCTGTCCTCCAAGGCTTGTGAGAATGAGGGGTCATTTTCCAGGATAGATTACAGATTGTTGATAATGCATTGGAGAGATTTAAGTTGGGGACTGTGACTATAGATGATAAGTGGTGTCCTGTTGTTTTCTTTGTAGGGCCTATTTTGAAATAGATACTGCATATTTGTCTGGCTCTGTCAATCTGTTTCTTCACTTTTTTGGTATTTCAGTTTTAAGAATGCTTTATATAAATCCTGTAGGTGTTTGTCTCTGTCTGTGGGACTAGAGCAAATCCAGTTATATCTTAGGGCCTGGCTGTAAACAATTGATTGGGAAATGTGTCATGGATGGAAGCTAGAGGCATGTAGGTAAGTGTAATTGTCAGTAAGCTTCTGGTATAAGGTGGTGGAAATGCTTTCCATCGTGTAATTGTACTGTAGTGTCAAGGAAATAGATCTCTTGTGTAGACTGGTCCAGGCTAAGGTTGATGGTGAGATGGAAGTTGTAGAAATCCCTGAAATTCTTCAAGGGTCTCCTTCCCATAGTCCATATGATGAAAATGTTGTCAATTTAGTGTAAATAGAGTAAGGGTAGGTGTTAGGTGGTGAGAGCTGAAGAAACATTATTGAAGGTCAGCCATAAAGATGTTGGCATATTGTGGGGTGATGTGGGTGCCCATAGCTGTGCTGCTGACTTGAAGATATAAATGGTCTCCAAACTGGAAATAATTGGGGGTGAGGACAAAGTCACAGAGCTCTATAACTAGTTGTGCAGTGGCATCATCAGGAATAGTGTTCCTTGCATGGCTCTTTCACAGGTACATTGTTTTGCTAATAGCTCTGGCAGATTTTTTCACTTGTAAGTTAACTATATCCTCTTCACAGGAAGCAGAGCCACAGACCAGGGATAGGAGCAAAGGGTGGGTGGACATTAAGATTCAGCAGTGCGAAAAATCTTCAGGTGCCCTATACATCTGCATAATCTTCATATGGGTAAGGACAGCATGTCAGTTAAGGCACATCAGTTTCACAGCCAATACTATGTAAAGGACCCAAACATCCAGGCTGGGTCTAGACTGGCAAGTTTTTCCGCAAAAGCAGCTGCTTTTGTGGAAAAACTTGCCAGCTGTCTACACTGGCCGCTTGAATTTCCGCAAGAACACTGACGATCTCATGTAAGATTGTCAGTGTTCTTGCGGAAATGCTATGCTGCTCCCGTTTGGGCAAAAGCCCTCTTGCGCAAATGCTTTTGCGCAAGAGGGCCAGTGTAGACAACGTGGTATTGTTTTGCGCAAAAAAGCCCTGATTGTGAAAATGGTGATCGGGGCTTTCTTGTGCAAAACCGCGTCTAGATTGGCATGGACGCTTTTCCACAAAAAGTGTTTTTGCAGAAAAGCATCCGTGCCAATCTAGATGCTCTTTTCCGCAAATGCTTTTAACGGAAAAACTTTTCCGTTAGAAGCATTTGTGGAAAATCATGCCAGTCTAGACATAGCCCCAGTGTCTTAACCACTTGCCTTAAGCATTTTGCTTAACCACTTGCCTTTGATTGCCCTAACCCATCAGTACCCTTCTGCAGTTGAGCAAATTAAAGGTGACATTTCAGTGAGAATCACAGTCACAATTTTCAGCATTGTAGTCAAGGCCCTTAAAAACTTTGCCCCATCCTTTACACTATATAAAAGTTAAGTGGCAGTCCCAGCCCATGCACTACACCAGCCCAGCCCAAGGATGCTGGGGCAATTTTTAGTGCATGTGAAGGATTCTGAGAACAACTGCACCAAACTGTAAACCCTGCAGGTAATGAAACGCACTTCAAGACAGGAGACGCAGCAGTTCCCGGGCCTAAGATCAAGCCCCCATCTCCCCGAATTTCTCAACTCCTCCTCTTCCCCCCCCTTCACTCGGACTCGCGCATGCGCCCAGCTTTTATATATTTTAGCTCCTCCTCTCTCCTACCCTCCTTTCAAAACTAGTGCCGCCTACTCGCCTAGCCCCGCCCGCGGAGCCGATCTGGCCTCGCCCCATCATTTGGCTTCCACTCTACTAGGGCGGTATTGACCCGTCTTGCTCCATCATTTTGGGAGCGTGTTAGCCACGCCTTCCTCCTAGCCCCACCCCTGGGCCCGTACTAGCTCCGCCTTCCTCCCTGGCGTCGGCGCTTGGGGACCATTGCGGCCCCGCCTCCCGTTGTCTCGCGCCCTGGGGGCGGGGTCAGCACCGCCCTTGCGCCGGGAGCACTTCTGGCTCCGCCCTTTTCCCCTCCCCTCGCCGGGGGCCGGGCTAGTAGTGGCGCAGCGGACACTGTTGCTGTGATGCAGTCAGAGAGGCTGGGCCTGCCCCCTCGCCGCCGCACAGTGACAAACCCCGGGAGATAGTTAGCTCCGCTGGGGTTGTCGGAGCCTTCGGTCGTCTCGCTCGCCGCCTGGGCCCCGGGGAGCAGTTGGAGCCACTGCCGGCCATGATCCCCCGCCCGCTGCAGGAAGGGCAGGAGCAGAAACTGCTGGCGGGGGCTGCGGGAGTATGAAGGATGGAAGCGGACGAGGTGACAATTCGCGAGCAGAACTTCCACAGCCAAGTGCGGGAGTACACGGTGCGTACGGGGTGGCCCGCCCGCAGTTCCCCTTCATCCTGTCACTCTGCCCCCCTTGTAACCTGCCGCGTGCCCTGTAACCCCCGTTCGTCCCGTCCCACTGCCCCCTCGGTAACCCTCCGCCCCTGCCGCGTGCCCTGGAACCCCCGTTCGTCCCGTCCTACTGCCCCCTCGGTAACCCTCCGCCCCTGCCGCGTGCCCTGGAACCCCCGTTCGTCCCGTCCTACTGCCCCCTCGGTAACCCTCCGCCCCTGCCGCGTGCCCTGGAACCCCCGTTCGTCCCGTCCTACTGCCCCCTCGGTAACCCTCCGCCCCTGCCGCGTGCCCTGGAACCCCCGTTCGTCCCGTCCCACTGCCCCCTCGGTAACCCTCCGCCCCTCCCCCGTGCCCTGGAACCCCCGTTCGTCCCGTCCCAC